GAATGAGATAGTTATTGTATCTCCATTTAAGTCTATGATTTTATGATGGGGTTGAGTGGTTAGAAAATATGATTATCAGCAAACATTTTAGAGGACACTATTAAGATTCAAGAACATTTTGATGAGACATACGGTAGTTGTCCAGCATTGTTCTAGAAAACAAGATTTAAAAATGGTTAAAATTATAAAGGAAGAGATTTTGATTGGACAGCAGAAAGGATTTCCAACTATTAAAGCAGTTTAATAATGGACCAAACTGTTTGAGGAGGTGGTGGTCTGTTCTTCACTGGAAGTGTTTAACAAAATAGTCATCTCTCAGGGATGCTGAAACAATACATTCCTGCACTTGGCAGTGAGTTGAATTAGATAATTTTCAAGATCCTTTCCATTCATTCATTCATTCATTTATTTAATATCCTGCCTTTCACCCTATGGCCTTTTTGGCTGAGAATGAATTTGAACCTGGGTCTCATTGGTCCTAGTCCATCTTCTTAACTACACATGAATGTATAAGAGCAAACTTTAAAGCTAATGAAAAGTAAGAATTGTATTTGTTAAAATTGCTATGGTTCTATGATAAAAACCAGAAGGCATAAGAAAAGTGGCTATACTGAAAGCTATAGATGCATGAAGATGTCATGTTTAGAGAACCTTTTTCACATATGTGACCCTGCCCATACCTCTTCCATAGAAACCATGCACATTGCAAAGGCATATTTTAGGGGGTTTTTTTCTCCCATACAGAGCAATTACCTCACCAAACAAGCACTTCTCATCCTGCATATTACTTGCCATGCTATTTCCTCTTTCCCCATTCAAATAAATCCTTTTGAAGTTCTTTGTTAGCCAAGGGTTTTCCATTCTACCTTACTGCTGTGCCATTGTACTCTCTCCAACTGGGAAGGCCCACACATCTTATTAACCTATGAATAGGTGATAGACCAGACCTGCAGGGAACAGAGGCTTCTCTCTGGTTTCCACAAATGGAAGGAAAACATGACAGCAGCCTGAAAAAGAAACTGCCAAGTATCTTCTTTGATTCAAACAACTGAAACCTTTGGAGGGATTTCCTGATGTAGTTAAAATAGTAATGGTGAGGTGAGGCTGCAACCCTTTAGACATTTCCCCACGGATCTTCCCACTTAACTCAGTTTCTGATTGGACCTGTATAGGATTGCTTTGTAAGATTTCAGTGCTTAGCTGGCTCCAATAAACTGAAAAACTGCTGCTCTATCAGCAGAGAAGAAGAGTTATTTTCATGGAAGAGCACTAGAAAAGACCATCCCATCACCCTTTCCAACAGTGAAGAAAAAAAAACTATATCCCTGGGAAAGGGACTGGGATCTGTCTTTCCATTGGTCTTAATGAGGAGATTGTTCATTTTTTAAAAAATTAAACAGAATTCGTTCCCTCTTGCATAGAACAGATTCAGAGAAACACATTAAAGTTGATAGGACTAGAAACTAAGTCCTTTGAAGACAGATCGAAAAAACTGAGTGTTTAACATTAAAACAAGACTGAAGGGGGCACAAGAGCACTGAAGGCACGTCGAAGAGAAGATTGAGATTCAGTCTCGGGTGTTTCAGGTGCAGTTCCTCTGATTTATGGTACTCTACAGAAAAGCTGCTACCAACTGCATCTAAAATTGGACTTGATAGCCCGCACAGCCTCTTCCAACCTGTCTGATATTATTTCAGCGGGGCCTAAGGAAGGAAGAAGGGAGGCCAGAGATTCTCCCATGCTTCAGTAAATTGTTGATCCATCCGACAAATATGCATGACACGATTTTAAGAAAAAGATCTTATTTCCCTTTCATTAAAAATGCGTACACACTTTCAGAACAATGCTCTCTGCAAATCCAGTATTCTGTCTCCAACACTGACCTCTTCTGGCCATTACTGATGAAACCTGAGCAAGTTTTCAGCCATCAGAGGGCAGAGCAATACCTTCCAAATTGGGCAGCTAGTCCACAATAAATTATTTTGTAATCTCAGAGTAACCTTTTGCAAGGTTAGGAAGATGCCTAATCTATCTTTGCATGATGTTCTGCTGAGGTCTGGACTCTCTCTTGGGCCACCTTAGAATTATTAGTTCTGCCCATCGCTGCATAAATTGGGAACATTAACTCGTTCCTAACATAGAAACACATTTGAGTTTAAGAGGCCTACGTCGCATCCCTGTCTGAGTCTCTTCCTTATCCATATCTCATCCAATTAGATGTACAATCAGATGACAGCAAAAGGATAATTTTTGACAGAGTTCCCCAACCTTTCTGGCTTGCAGACCAGCTGAGGGGTGGGGGGGGAGGGGATGGTTCCGCTCGTGCAAATGGAGCGCAAGTGGGGATGTGCTCGCCCAGCACTTCCGTGACCCGGTTACAAAGGGCTCATGGCTTGGTAGCGGGCACAGCCCGGGAGTTGGGGACCCCTGTCCTATGGGAGTAAAAAGCTATACTTTTGCCTGCAGAAAAATCCAGCGTTAACCCTAGGTTTTGATTAGGCTTTCAGAAGGACCCCCTACTACCCCAAAGGCTAGACATTTGCTACTAAATTAAGTAGAATATCCTGGGGCAAACAAATAAAATGATCTGCTGGGAAATGCTTCCCAGGTCTGCTTCTGAATTTAAATTGGACAGCCTTCAGCTATTTATTTCACCTTTTTTTAAAGAAATGTAGCTAAGAACTATCTGCACAGGATATTCATTCCAAAACACACTATAGCTAGAACTTGTTTATATTTCAGGTATTGAAATATTTCAGGACGGAGAAGTGAAAAGAATTTTGGTTTTCTTCAAAAGTACATTACCCTATTCATTTTCACTACCATCTCTGAAGCCATAGAAAATTAGAGATACTTATCCCAAAAGATCCCCTATGAAAGCAATTCTCCTTCCAGTTTTGGGAATGCACAGACAGCGTGCTCTATGTAGTATTGGAGGTTCAGAAGGAACTCAATATAAGTCTTCACTTGCCAGAAGCAAATCTTGATGCAGCCATTTTCCTATGTGTCTATTTGCTGCTTTGCTCACTAAACTAACCTCTTCAACCTACAGCTTGAACTGTACGTTGAACTACAACTTTTTTTCGATTTAAGAGTGGTAGAGACACATCTTGAGGACACCAAGATATTAGTGAAATATTGATTGAAGTAGCTTTCCCCAATAGTATTTTTCAGATGTGTTGGGACTTCAGCTTCCAAAATTCCCAGCCAGCATTGTCCCAAAGATTTAGAGCAGTATTTTTCAAACTTGGCCACTTTAGGAGAGATGGATTCCCAGAATTCACAAGATGGGGAAGTTAAATTTCATATACTTCCCTGCTCCAGTCCTCTTTGAAACTGGTTTCTTCTAGCCTCTAAACTTTATTTTTGAAATATAAAAACATTTCTGCTTCTCAGAGTCCCTTTCTTCTTGATGGAATTGACCAGGGTTCCTGAAATTGCTGGGGCAATTTTGGAAGTCCCATCTGGATGAAAAGTTCAGATACCCTCTTGTCTTAATATTCAAAAGTAAAAAATAGTTCTATTTCTTTTTTTTTTGCATGTGCACTTTTTTGGGGGGTGGGTGGGTGTTTTCTTATCCTGTTTTCCACTGTCACCAAGCAACAGCAGAGGGTCAGGTCAGTAAAGATGCTGTATGCCTTGAGAAAACTGGGTGTGCTGCATTCGCCATCACATATAAACTTCTCCTTTCCCTACAGTGCACAAATTTTGACCATTACCTTATTGACAAAATCTTGATTATCTCCAGACCAAAACTGGGCTTTCTCTTTTTGTTTCCCCTCTCATTTCAGTAGCTCTCTCCACTTTTTATTATGACACAAGCCTCAAATGCAAGGGAATAAAAAACCCCAGGCATTGCAACCATCAGCCACAAAATTCTATTTCTGCTGGGTTTTTTAATTTGTTTTTTTTTTTTTTTAGAAAAACTTGCAGGATTGCTTATAGTATGCAGATGGGAGTCGGCAAATAAAATTGCTTAGTGTTTCTGTGAAGAGGTATAATCATGCCATTCCATTCCCCCATGCCACTTCTAGGTTTTCTATACCCCCCCTCCCCTTTTCCAAAATCCTATGCTCAAGAAACATCCCCTATTGCTTCATCTTTTCCCCCCTTGTTGTTTCTTTATTGGGGGAGGGGAGAGAAAGGGAACAACTTTTATTAAAAAAAGCAAAACAACTCTGCAGGAGACAAGAGCCAAACTAGAATGGGGATGCTGCTATGATATCAAGTAGCAGTTCCAAAGGACTGCGAGAGACATATTGATAAATTCTACTTTTTACCTCCACTCCGAACTTCAATCTAAAGGAAGATGGGGAAGGGGGGGGTGTTGTTCTTGGAATAATTTTGCCTTCAAGCACAGTGCAAACACAGCCCTATGGCCTGAAGCATTACTCTTCAGTAGGGCTTTAAAGTATTTCTGTTTTGCTCATGTCCTAAATGCTCAGTAAACAGAAAAACCTTTTTTTGATCCAGCAACCTATTGCCTGCAATGGTTAATATCCAGAAAGTGCACAAGCAGAATATTGCAGAGTATTACATCACTTTAAACACCTGGGAATTTTTGATCTTTTAGACTCAATCACCTTGAATGTAGCTAAATTTTGTTATACTACTAAAATATTAGGCAGACTTTATATCCTACCACCAATTTTAATATTTTATCGTATTCTGTTTTTACTTTATTGTTAATGTGTTTTTGTTGCATAATGTGTGTTTATTTTGGTCAGTGACCACAATAAAAATATTCTATTCTACTCACTTTAGGAGATTTGTACATTCTTTCAGTAATCTTTTAATTTGGTATGCATGTAATCAAAGAACAGAATAACTGACAGAATAGCTTAAATATATTTACCTAATTAAGAATGTACTTCCTATATTATTTTTTAATGCAGTACAAAGGCAAAGTTTAGTTATAAGCAAACATTTTCAGCAATTAAACTTCTTTAAAAAGGAGGAGGGTGGATTGCTGATTAGAAAAAAAACACCATAGTTCCAAATTATTCTCTAGAGTTCTTTAATGTGTGGTAAAATACATTGAAAGATTCACAGCTTGCACTCTTGAACTAATTTGCATAACTGCAGGCAGGGGACAAAGAATGACAAGTGTCTAATGACATCATCATATCAAAATCACAATTTGTTACTTGCCTCAGACAATGTGACACAAGTACAAAATGTGGGCAACTGCAGGATGATGCCAGTGCACACATGTCATCATTTTGGCCTCATTGTGGTTTATTATAGCTATCTATGCAATTTGTGGGGGCAGGAGGGTTCAACTACAATAAGTAGATGAGGGATGAGATAATTAGGACAAGAATCAGCAAGCAGAAAAGCATCACGAGTATATTATAGTGATCAGAAGGCAACAGGTGAAAGCAGAGAGAAGAGAGCTGACAATAAGCCAAACTACTTTCCAGAAGGAATCACATTCCCACAATTGAGAATAAGCTCAAGATTGCCATTTCTGCCCCTATGTTCAAAACTGAGCAGAGAAATGTGAATCCATGTCTGATGTAAACACATTAAATTTTGTGGTTCCATAAAAGCCCATATGTCAATTCTAAATACCTGTAAGACAATCTGAATAAACCTAAACCTCCATTTTGCAGAATTTAGATCACAAGGTTAGACCTGAGGTTTTTCTCCAGCTGGGAAATGTAATCTAGTGGCTTTTCTTTGGAATGAACTCATTCTTCCTAGTGCCACACTACCTGGGGCCAATTAGAAACATGCTGCCCTAGCCCTATACTAAAGCAGACTTTCAGCAGATAATCATCAGGCAAGAACTTAGGAGTTATTATGCTCCCCCCACTGGATATTCATACGAGATCCTCCTTTCTGGTCTAACACAATTAAGCCAGTTGCAAATCTGGCCCAGGTCATACTAGAAAGACAAAATAACTTTCACTGAAATCATAAACCCAAAAACAAATGAAGAGAAACTTGAAATTAGAGTAAGTCAAGTTTGAAAGTAATCTAATACCTATTGTATTAGCCCACAATCCAGTATCAGACAAGGAACTAGCCAGGTGGATTCTTATGTAGAAGAAAACTCTTTGTCTCTGCCAACTGAAACACGTAGCACACTAGATGATCACCCCACAAAATCACAGATAACATGGACACAGTCAAACTGAAATGTATTGCAGGCCACAATCCCCAATTTCAGTCCATGAAACATTGTTATGACTTGCTAGAGTGACCTGGATCTTTCTCTGTTTTCATTTTGGGGGCCTTTAACAAACTAAGTTTCTTGGGTAACTTAGCACTGGCCTTCATTACCACCTCATGCTCAATCTTCTTATGAATGGTAACCTCCAGATTCTGCAGAGAGAGGAAGAGAGAAAGGCTCAATTTATAGAATGATAGTTAGGCAACTCATGACAATTAAGCAATAATTGCTTAATCCTGTAAATGTTCAAATGTCTTGCTAGATTTATGTCAAAAATTTAAGACAAGGAAAGCACCAGGTTATATTCCCTGGGAAGGAAGATTTGTAGACGATGTACTTGAGTGGACTAACCCTTCACACATCATCAAATCCAGCTCTGCCATTAGGCAAAGTGAGAGAGTTCTTCATACAGCTGATCTTGAATATTACACAATAGCAATATCTTAGTATTTGCTGGAGTTGTGAAGGCCAGACAAAAGATGCCATTTGGCTTCCAGTACCTATATATTAAGAGGCTAGACTGCACCTACCAGGAGCACCAGCATATGTTTTTAACATCTATGCAAGTTACTATGGGAGTAGATACTCCTTTTCAGTAGCCATATAGGGTCTTAAAATCTACACCAGCATTTTTAATTGTACTGACAAACAAAAAGACAGTTAATGAAGTTCTATAATTTAGACAAAACATCTTCATAGTCAGTTGTCTAATTAAAAATTCTGCAGCCAAATTTTGTATGCACATGTTTTGAACCCTCTTCCAGGGCTACACTTGTGCAGTAGTTATCAGACCATAGATAAATGGCTAAATTATTCAAGTTCAGAAAAGGATACAATTATGAATTATGCCACATCCATAGACTTGTACTAAAAACAAACTGTGCCATCGAAAGCAATTATTGGTGGGCAATGGGCTGAGAATGAGAGACAGCACACCTTTTTCACTTTCTGTTGCTGGATCACACGAGTTTTCTTGGGTGCAATTACACGACCTGTGAGAGGAACCATATAATTAAATATATATTTTGTTCTTGCATCAATCTCTCATGAAAAAACTACACTAGATTAATTTCTATTACATTTGTTAGATTTCCCCAACAGGGTGCCTTCCAGGTATGGAAGAGTTATTTCCCATATTTTGCAGCCTGCATGATAGCAGTCCGTGAAGGAATCCAACCACATCTGGAAAGCACCAGATTGGGGGAGTGGCTGTTGTTTAGAGTACAATCTGTCCAACACATGTTCTTATTGCCACTCTGAAAAAGTTCTTTAGCACACTGTGTGCTACTCAACCACTGTTGCTGTTCAAAGTATTTTTAAAAAACCAAATGAATAATTGGAAGAGTGTTTGCAAAGGTTGTGTTTAGAAATCTTCCATAATAGCCCTAAGGATCACGCAAACTTGTACTAAACAAAGCTGGTGTCAATAAAGGACAACATTTGAAATAAGGGGTCCTCGGTGCTCTCTGGGCTTGGCTATTTTCTTGCAGACATTTTATTACCCAAACTAGGTAGCATCATCAGTGCTAGTGATGTTAGACTATCACTGATAATGTTACCTAGTTTGGGTAATGAAACCAAGCTCCAAGAGCACCAAGGAACCCTCAAAGCTGGTTTCAAAAATAAAGTAACTGCTAGTGTTGAGTAAGCAGGCTACTTCTCTGCTTCAGCTCTGTAACACTTTGTTTTTTGTGTTACCCTTAAACAGCTTCAAGCACTGTTTTAGAGCAACTTCTAAGGTAGATGAGGCTCAGAGACAGCAAGTGGACCAAAGACATTCAGGGAGCTTCATAACTGCAGGGATCTGAACCCAGTCCTACCTAAGAATATGAAGCCTGTAGGGTATGTGGATCATCCACAACCTGCCTCAATAAGATGCATCATCTTTGATGCACTAAAGCAGTCTTTCTCAAACTGGGCAACTTTAAGAAGCATGGACCAACTTCCAGAATTCCCCAGCTAGGCATTCTGGGAGTTGGAAGTCCACACCTCTTAAAGTTGCCCAATTTTGAGAAACACTGTCTTGTTTTTGTCACAAGTTTCACTCCCCAGAAGCACTTAAACGGAAGTCTCAAGGAAGTAAAGAGACTTTCTGAAGATCAGCATAGGTAGCTTATAGCTGCAACGAGCTTTCAGGCACTCCCTAAATACTGAGACGACCCCAATGACGACTAGGGTTGTAACTGACCGCTATTCGTCAATCGATTAGGACCATGATGGTAACACTGCTAACACAAGTTTATTACCACCACTTATCCTACTTATCCACTTATCCTACTTATCCACGCCTTATCCTACCTAGATTTTGCTTAACCAGAGCTTATAAGAAGCCCGCTCTTCCTACGAACCAAAAGAAAGATGGGTGACTCTCAGCTTGCTTCCTCTTTGTGGACGAAGCAAGGCTAGCCCTACTAGTTCAGCCCCCGCCGCCTTTTCCCAGCTATACCTCCCTTGCGAGGTCCGCGGGTAGCGGCCGGCGCCTTCTTCCCCGCAGCGGCCGTCTTGCGCGCCTTGAATTTCTGCTTGCCCTGAGCCATCGATCCCGGCGAGCTCTCAGCTTTCGGCCCGACTCGTCCGCCGCTCCCAGCCGGAACTGCCCTGGCGCTGCTGGGATAGAAAGCGCCGCCGCCAAAGAGCTTAGCAGTTTAGGCGCAGCCACGAAGTTGGGAGCTAAAGCGACACTGCTTGCATTGATGCATGCAAAAGCATTCGCTTTTTAACTGAAGACTTGGAAGGAATCGATGCCGACGGCAACAGAAGCAGCCGTTAGTAGGCCACAACTATCAACCATTTGTTCGTGGCTAACCCACAGGGGTTATAGGAGGACAACAGTTCGATTGTGGGAGACGTGATTTGCTTCTTTTCCCAAAAGTGTTGCGTTATACCTCGTGGCTAAATAACCACGTTACTACACTTGTTATTTTAATTTCCTTGGCCTTGTCAGTTCGCCCGGAGAATCGGCAGGTTTGGTTTTTTTGCATGAATTGAGTTTCATTTCTGGGCAGCCTTTGTTTTCTAGCTGGAAAGCTTTGTCACAGCACCATTGGATTTAAGCCCTTTGGCAAGGATGAAATAATACAGCGTCAACACGAATTAGCATTGCTATTTGTGAAAGTTCTTGTTTTCGGGTCTGACATGATTAATTCCATGTCTGTACTAGCTTATTCTAATCCAGCAATAGCAAGTGCCTCAGTTCTCTCATCCTCTTAGAGATAGCTCTTACCTGCAGTGCAGAACTGTTTGCTGATCAAGAAGAAAAAAAAATATTCATCCCTCAAGGCAAGCAGACAAAATCAGATTTATATCACTTCTATAAAATAATCAAGTGGTTTATAATTAAAGCAGAATGCTACTGAGAATGCAGGTGTAACATTTCCAATGTTCAAAGTTTAATGAAAAGGTCACTTTCCCCCCTTGACTTTATGAGAATTCAGACTGATTGGACAGAGGATGCACCAGCAGTTCCAATAAAAAAAATGCTATTGGTATATCCTATAATTTTAAGTATGTTTTTCCAGCGAACGAGGCTTCTTTGCTCAACTTAAGATCACTTGAAGATGCTAGTGTGATGATCCTGATTAATGATTCCTATGCCCATAACAGGCATGTGACAGAATTGTTTGACATATGTTTTTCTTTGTTCTGTCACAGAACATCTGCCAAGATCCAGTTATCAGACTTAGGCAATACCTTATCTGATTGACTATTAAACCATAAACCATCCTTGTCAGAATTGCAGTGTTAGTTATGTTCAGTACTGTATTTGGCTCTTGTGAAGCTTGAATAGGAACATCAGAATTGCTCTTTCAGATCAGGAGTCTGGCAGGCCTTTTCTGACTTAACACATTTTCCTGAATTGCAGTTCATTTCATCAGATGCAACTTACTGACAGGCTCTCCTACTATCTCTTTCAGATCTAAATTGCTGTAATCCCTGACTGAATTGAAAATGTCCTTAGATGAACTGTAAGTGCTTATTTACAATCAATTTCTTCAAAAACTTGGGGGAGGCTGGCCCTTATAGATCCACAAGTGTGTTTTTTTTATTTGCTTAGAGTTTAGCAGGATGCTTTCTTTGGATTTGATTGAAAAATATGAATAGTTTTTATAATAAAAATATTTTATGATAAAAATGTAAATCAAATAACTATTTATTCTTAGAAAGCTGCTATAACTTCAGAATGTTTTTTACTTGTTTCCAAATAGCAGTCAATCTGGATCAGTGAGGTGGTATCTGTACTATACGGGAAGTTTTTAACCATGGTTCATAAACAATATCTCAACTGAAGTCAACACCTGGTTGGTTTGCTGGGCTGAACAGCTAAACAGGGTCTAGCTTGATTAGTACTTGAATGGGAATTTTCTGACATATCTCAGACATGCCAGAAGGGGAACACTTCCATATTCCTGCTGGAAAAAACACATGTTCATTTAAGTTACTAGTACAACTCAGCTGCAGAAGGTTGTTCTTTACAAATATGATTATGCTAAAACCAAATAAGCTTGCTTTGTGAACCCAATTAGGTCTCTTCCAGCTCTATTCCGATTCATTCAATTAAACAATCATGTGAAATTTTTAATATGGTAAATATCAATATAACCCGAACAAAAACTGGGAGCAAAGAAGTTTAAGAAACACTAAGCTAGGCGATCCTTCGTTTTATCTTTCTTTCCCCCTTCCTGGCACACACAGTTCCTATAATTAATAGCATATAACTGCTATATTCTGGGCATAACTAAAAAAGAAAGGCTAAGGAGATAGCAGTTTATTTTATGATACTTGGGACAAAACAGTGGGCTTATGTTTAAATAATTGGGGAACAAGTGCAGATGACATAAGAAAAGACAGCAAAATGTGTGCACTCTTCTCTCTCTTTTTCACACACACTCACAGACACATAGACATTTCTATTCACGTATTCCAACTGCTTCATGTACCATCTGCAAAGAGTACTTTTGTTTGTTTGGAGGGGAAAAAAGACACTGATTTGCACACCATTTCCGGCCATATTTTCTCTCTACCCATAAACTCAGTTCAAAGTTCAGCTTCTGAACCAGATGCAGAGTCTGAATAATCTGCAACCAGAGAAGCAGCAAAACTAGAGGAAGGGCTTCCCTCAGCCTTTTGGGAGCCTCCTGAAGGCCTAGTGGAAGAGTCAAGGAGCATTTCACTTGCTCCACTGTCCTGCCTGTTAACTTGTGCTGGGGCATCAGAGATATTGCTCTCCCCTTCACTGGAAACTTGCTTGGTATCCTTGGATTTCCGACACACAACACCCAGGCTGTTTAGAGGTGCAAGGGACTTGCTAGATGGAGATTTCCCAACAAATGCCAACTTTTTCAGGATGTCATTGGTTTTAGGACTTGAGAACCATGGGCGATCCACAATCTCATTGCGTTTTTGTTTCTGTTTGTCTTCATAGGCTGAAAAGGAAGAAGTAAGCATGCTACAATGACAGAAAATAGGACTAACCAGAGTTCTAGTTATGAAACTCAGCTCACTCTATTAGTAACATATTTCTGTATTCGGGCTATAGGGTGACCAGTTTTCCATCTCTATAGGAAAAGTCCTAAAAATAATCACTGCATGGAGGAAGATGACAGAAATTCAGCAATTACTAAAAAATGTACATTCATGGCAGCAAAGGTGTGGAATCAATTTACTACCAAAATATACAGTATATTTCAGTGGTGGCGAACCTATGGCATGCGTGTCAGAGGCGGCACTCAGAGCCCTCTCTGTGGGCACGCGTGCCATGCCCCCAGGATGGCAACCGTCCCTCTTCAACCAGCTGCCCACTAACTTGCTGAGGTCCCACGTGGCCGGATGCATCCCAGCACAGCTGGTTTCCCTCCCCCCGGTCCCATCCCTCCTGCCCTCGCATGCTCTCCTTTTCCCGGGCATGACCCACTGCATCGCCTCCTCAGCTGTTGGCTCACCGTCCAGCTCAGAGGCAGCTTCTCTGAACTGATGGCGGTGGGCTGCGGAGCCCCAGAGTGCGCCAGTCGAGGGGCTGGCAGGCTGTGGCTGCTGACGGACACTGTCGGCCCCCATGCGCTCGTTGACCTCTGTGTGCGGGGGCTGACAGTGTTAGGCAGCAGTGTGGTCACATCAAGGTAACATCAAGGTGACCACGCCCACCTAGTGAGCCACGCCCACCTGGCACCTGGCGATAAATAAGTGGGTTTTGGGTTGCAGTTTGGGCATTCAGTCTCTAAAAGGTTCGCCATCACTGGTATATTTTGTTAAAATTAGTATTTATTTTACCCTTATATAATAAAGGAGATTAAGAAGCACTGTTTGGGAAGTGGGAGCCGCAATCCAAACCCACCTCTTAAAAACAACTCCTTCTATAGTGCAGCCAACAAAATGTGACACTTTACCAAGGACGCACTCTTGTATGAGGAAGTCCCATCCTTGAGCCCCATATCCTTCCCCCTGCAAAGACCCCTTTACGTACAGTCAAGGCTCTGGTACTTGAGGAGCGCTGCCAGATGCCGATCTTCTTCAGCTTCCTGCACAAGTGGGATGCTTAGGTTTGCTCTTGCCTGCAAAGCAAGGTCTTTTTTCTCTTCTTCTTGCAGAACTTTCTTCTCTTCCTATGAGAAGGGAAAGGGGAAAGAAGCAGCAGGACACATGAGGCACACCCAGCATGGCCATGAAGCTGGAGCAAGGAAAAATAAAACATCGGACAAAGAGAAAACAGGTTTGAAAAATATAATACAGGAGAAAAAGTGACACCTTTTTAAATACTAGCTATCCCAAAGAAGCTTAAGAAAATTAAAATAACAAGTCCAGAACTTTAATCCAAGATTTTCCTTTTCAGGCTTTTGCTTGGTTATCTGTAGTTATTACATTATGACTTCCTATATAAAAGTTGGTTGTTATATAAATGGCTTATGTAATAGAATATAATAATATAGCATAAAATCCTGCTACCTTGAATTTAAAAATATACAAATGAAGAAAAAAATAGAAAATAAAAATGTGGAGTTTTTTTTTTTAAAGGCTTTTAAAAAGAGAAACAGGATAGACACAGTGAGGGAAAAATTATTTGATCCCCTGCTGATTTTGTACGTTTGCCCACGTACGTTTGCTCAGTCTATAATTTTAATGATAGGTTTATTTTAACAGTGAGAGACAGAATAACAACAACAAAATCCAGAAAAACGCATTTCAAAAATATTTTGTCCCTCACTGTAAAATAGAAGAATGGGAGGAGAGCAAATATGTATACAGAAACAATTCTTTTTTAAAAAAATGAGATATACAATCATAATGGGAAATGACAATGTCAAACAGTTTATCATATTTTTTTAAAAGAAAAATGTATTATAACTTGAAATGCAATTGCAGTTCTTTTATTCTGTTCTCATTTGCTGAACTTTAGAAACATCATTCTAGGAATATTCAAAGTAATCCTTCTCCCTTCCTCTATTGCAGACATGTCAAACTCACGACGTCACGTGACGTCATGCAACATATCGGGCCGGTTTTGCCACTGCCGGCAATGGGGTGGGTGCGGCTTCCGGATGACGCGTCCGGCCCGCGGGCTGGCAGTTTGACACCCCTGCCTATTGCAACTTCCCATCATTTACCCTGAATTTCCGACGAAGAAGGCTGTTGATCGCAAAATCATCCTTCCAGGCACTTTGAGCCTCCTGAATATTCTGGAGGGTAGGGAGAGCTCGCTGAAGCTTGCTTTGATCCTGTGTGCCGTGCTCCAATCGATACATAGCATCTGTCTCCAGCTTCTGCTTCTCCTCGTGGGCTAAGAATCAGACACACACACATCAAGCCAGGCCCAGCTGAAGGAATGCTCAAGGATGCTACTGGTCCCAAAACTCACCTGTGGCCACTACTTGTTCACTAGCTTCAGCATCCCAGCGCTCTTCCTTGCGCCGGGCACCACTGACAATGACATAGTCACAACTGGCAGGATCGGTCTGCATCTCAATGTAGTTGGGGCAAAGGTGGCACTTCATACGGAACCTATAAAGCCAAATGCAATGCAGCAAGGAAGGGTAGAAGGACACCAGATCTGAGACTATGAACGCCAGAAACCCCAAAAGCCACCCTCCTGACTTCACGCCAAATATCTTTCTTTTCTCATGCAAGCCCAATGACCCAAGAAGGTCTGTCTTTGTTCTGGATTACTGACCACTCGAGCTAAAAGAATTCAGCAGCCAGAATTCAACTTTTTAAGAAATTGTGGGTTTAGGAATGGCCTAAAAGTACACTCCAGCAGTACCATGTGACATTTTGGTTACTAGATGGAGACTGAGCAAACTGGCTCTGGGATGCAGCTTTGCACTTCTTGTATGTTTAATAGATGTGGATTTATGTATCACAAAGCAAATCATGCAGAGTGGCATAAATTGGCTAGGTCATAAGAATTTGCCCTTTCTTGGATTATCATTGGGAAAGTTAAGTGAGAAATCCTAGAACAGAATAATATAGCCTGATCAGCAGTCTTTTCCATCTGCTGGACTGATCCTTTCCTACTGCCCACTAGGGCACTATCCATGAACTGATCAAAGACAATAGTCTCTTCTGTCTTCAAGCACCCACCTGAAAATAGGAGTGGTGTAATAATTACCGACCTTCTTCTTCTCCGCATTATAGCGAACACCTGCAGAAACAAGGTGAAGAAAGGACATTTCACCTTTGTACAAGATATTGTACAATGCCACAAACTCATCTTAGAAACCTGCAGTTACTCACAAATCATCATTGGATGGGTTTTAAACCACCATATCCACTCTTTAGAACATTCCATCATAACAGGCCTTTAGGACCTCTATCTTATACCTAAGAACAAGTCCAGTTTCCTTAAATTTGGAAACATGCTGATAGGTCAATCTAACCCCCAAGATCCTGAGCTAGCAAGCCTCATTCCATGTGGTCCAGAGGATATAGGAAGAACATGTTTGGCCAGAACAAGTTTCACGGAGGCTAAGTCCATCAACTGAGAACTGAGTTCAGATCTCCAAACCCTTGAATTCTATTCTTTCTGTTCTAACATTTTACATTTAGTGTCATGATTATTACTGCTTTCTTATTACATAAGCTGGAATGCTACCCAATTCACTCTACGTTAATAGCCGAACTTGGGGTTTTTTTAAATTTCTTTCTGAAGTAATTGAAAAGGGATATGCATTTATTTGAATAATATCAGTCAAATCTATCAGCCGAAATGCTGATAAAAAGAGAGGCTTTAGTGAGTATAAAGTATTTTCATCAATTTTGGTAAACAGGTTAAAAAGTTTTTAGGAAAGTTTATCCAAGAAGATCAATGTGGATTTTACCTAAAAGGCAGTAAAAAGATAATGTGGGAACTGTGTTGGATGTAACAGAATATATACAACAGAATGATGAAAAACAAGCAGCATTAATTTTTTTAGATGCTTTTGACAATTCGAATTGGTCCTTCTTGTTTAAAGTCCTGGAAGAATTAGACTATGGTAAGAATATTCTTCATGGAATTAAATCGATATGTACAGTACATCCCCCAAAAGCCTGAATTATAGTTAATGGTGATTTGACTAAACCATGTGATATTCAGAAAGGGACAAGATAAGATCTGTGCCTTTTGTTGTTTACTTTGGTTTTTCAAGTTTTAAATAGAGACATTAGACAAGATGAGGGATTAATAGGCCTAAAAATTAAAAAACGAGTTTTTAAAATTGAGAGCTTTTACTGACAATTTGGTTTTGATTTTACAGGCTCCTGTGAAAGGGATCAAATCTTTGATGGAAAAATGGAAAGATTTTGATGTGGTAGCAGGTTTTAATATTAATAACCAGAAAACAAAGATATTTGTTAAAAATATGACACTACAAGATCAAGATGTTTCGATGAAAAAAATCTGGTTTTAAAATTGAGAAAAAAGTTAAATATTTGGGGGTTAGTTTCACTAATATGAATTGTATGTTGTTTTAAAGTAATTATGTTAAGATATGGAACAAAATTAAAGAGATAAACTGAGATGGGAAAATTACAATTGTCATTGTTGGAAAGCTTTTCTGTTAAACTGAAAGTTTTACCTAGAATATTTTTCTTTTTATTTCAGATGATATCTATATTGATAACTGACGTACCATTTAAGCAATGGAGAAAAAAGGTATTTCCAAATTTATTTGGCAAGGCAAGAAACCAAGAATTAAATATAAATTCCTGCAGGATGCTAAAGAAAGAGAGAGCCTAGGATTATCATATTTGAAATTGTATGTTAAGCTTGTTGTTTAGTTTGGATGAAAGAGTAGGTGACTTTAAGAAGTAAGAGGTTATTGGAATTGGAAGGGTATGATTTAATATTTGGATGATAAAACTTTGTGGTATGGCAAAGTTAAGGTTAATGTAGATTTTAAAAGTCTTTTTATTCAACATCCATATTGAGAATTTGGAATAGATATGAGGCAAAACTGTCTCATAAAATCTCTTTTTAGAAGCCTTAGAAGGTAAATTAAACAAAAATGGTTAACTTATGCTAACTTGTTGGTTTTTTTTTTTATAAAGGAGAGTTTAACTTAAAAATGAAAAAACTTGGGAGCTGGAAACATTTCACATACTATTGGTTTCCTTACACTCAGTTAATTGAAAGATTTAAGTTGGATAAAAAGAATAATGAATTTGAAAAGGGTAAAACTGAATTTGATGTAGAGCTCCGTACAAATGATAATTATATTATTGCTAGGATATATAAACACTTACTGAAAATGGAAACAGAAGACAAACAAATTAAAGACTGCATGATAAAATGGGTAAAAAAATTCAAATAGAGTTGGCTAATGGAAGAGTATATGGAAGAAAGGGTTGAAATTTACAGTGAATTATAATCTTAAGAAAATTTTTATAAAATTATAGATTGCTGGTACATGACACTGGATAAAATATCAAAAATCTATAAGGGAATTTCAAATATTTGTTGGAAAACTAATCAAACAGTGATATGTGTGTGTGTGTATCGCTTTACATTAACTAAATGGTGGTCACACGGGCAATAGTTTTTTCTCCTGCATGTAACTCCCAATCACTACTTATATGCTAGACTGTTTGAGGGATATATCAACACTTACCCATCCCAATGTGATTCTGGCAGCCATCACACCAGATATTATAGGGCATCTCAAATCTGGGAAAGAAGTGACATGTTTATGCATGTTGCAGAAACAGCCAAAACTTTATTTAGTGGGAGAACAAGCCCTATCAGAATAGAAAGGGAACAGCTTCCAATGTTCCCTTGCTATGGCTAGGATGTAGTCAGCATTTCTTGACTCCAGCAACCCAAGAATTCCTGCTCTAAGTACAGATGTGGTTAGGTGGCCTTACCTGATGATGAGGATGCCCTGGGAGAGTTTACGAGCTCTTTCCCGAAGTGGATGGCTGTTGCGATATTTGTTAAGGGAGCCATGCTACAAGAGAGATAAGGTCGGTGTTAAGTTTCTTGTACACAGATGTTATATTCATGAATCTTTCCACCTATATCTGGTAACAATTAACAAGTCACAGTTTGTTGGCCGTGGTATGAGAACAAAAAAATTTTTTTTTGCTTAACTTCCAACTGGAAACCAACCACATACAGTACTTGGATTATTGTTCCTAAATTTCCCAAAGTTTTTTTTTTCCTGGTTTGTACTCAAATACTTGAACTGGCTGCCAATTTGGGAGATCTGCATAATTTGATAATTCCACTTTATCTTCCTACAACACTGACGGCTTGGCTACAAAATTTAAGAGAACTCTTTGGAAATACAGTGTCTCTACTGCTTTGAGATTTTTTTTTATGCAAAGAAGGATCTAAATGTTTTAAACAAATAAATACTGCTCCCTTCCTAATTTCTTAGCAGGAGCTTTTGAGATAACTCCAGAAGGTCTATATGGCTCTACACATATTAGCAGAGACTGCAGACCAATCAAAAGATTTGGCCAAAGGTTCTGACAGATCTGTATAATACACATTTGTAAAATTTTCCTTCAGCCTTTGTTTGTATCTGAAACAAATGAAAAAAAAATCATTGTTTTTTCTGATTAACAAGAAGAGACTAGTGTTGCAATTCCAGATACTTCTGAAGGTTACTGAAGACTTGAACTATTTCAGCCAAACATTTGGTCAGAAAATGCTGCTGCGACTTCTTTAATCTTCTTGGTGGATGACCTGTGTTAGGAACCTAATGGGGAGAATGCAGCCCTCCTTGTTCCCTTGGACTTCTCAGCTGCTTTCGATAAAATTGATTATGGAACCTTTTTGGACTACTGGCAAGACTGGACTTTGCGGCACTATTCTGCAATACATTTGGGTTTTCCTGTCCAGTTCAGTCCAGTACTCTACAGAGAATTAATGTTTGACACCAGGAGAATACTAAAAGAAATCATCTAGAACTGGAATTGGTGCCATGAATTTGAGGTAATACCACATAGCTTGTTTGCCCGAGATTCCCACATATTAGTACTAATTTAGGAAAAAAGGCACCGCTATGAGAGGGGAGGTGCTTGGGACTATTAAAGAAATCAGATAGAGAATATCCATTTATCCTGAAATTAAAACCTCTTTAATTACTTGCACTTTGGCTATTAAGGGACAGATCAGAAGCTGAAACAGATCAGCTGTCACTGGCAAGAAGACATCATATTCTTCCCACTTCCTTGTTGACTGTAAAAGCAAACAAGGGAACTATAAGAAATAGTAGTTGTTCTTCCAAAGAGAAATACAATAGCCTCTGAATCATCGTACACACAAAACCAATTGTGTGTACGATGATTCAAAAAGCCTGAAATTCCTTTTCCAGTTACATGGATATTTCAATTATACAATTATACATAAAAGCAGACTCCATAAAGTTTAACCCTTATATTTAATTCTATTTTATCTTATTGAGATGTTCTGACACCATTCAAATACTGACCTTGTATTTTAACTTGTAAGTAAACCATCCAATAGAAAGTTATCCTTCGTAAGCCCTACTTGTTTAAATTTTTTGTTATGACCCAATATCCCAAACTGCTCCCCCCCCAAATCTTGAACTATTCTAACATTCCAGATGGGCCTCTTACCTTGGCTGGATCAAAATCAGGTGGGTAATACTTGTTGACTCCTTTCCTTTCCCCCTGTAAGAAATCAAAGACAAAGCTATGTTGTTTGATAGCAAATTGAGCAATTTGAAGGGCACAAACATTCTCCAGACTGAGGTAGGTTAACTTATATAAATGGTATCACCACATTCAGTCCCCAAACTACCACCAAATAGGAAGTAGCCCTTTAATAACTATTTCTCATTATTTCATTTATAGTCATTTCATTTATAGACCACAGACTTCTAGGGACTCTTGCAAATTAGCTCATATTTGGCATCACAGAGCACCATGAGAGCTACCAATGGGTTTGTAGCAAAGTCAAATTTCCACAGAGGTCCTTATTGTGAAATAAGATTTCTATGTGGGATTGGATAAATGCTAAAGTGTAAGCTGTAACTACATATGTCGCAAAAGCAGTTGAATCTATCCTCATTAGGTTCAAGAATGATGGAAGAGAAATTGCAGTTGTGGATTTGATACAAAATCCTGCATCAACTTACCATGGTGATAGTGATTTAGTCAGGTAAGAGTGATAGTCTAGGTGAAAAACAAGAGAAAGTTATTTATAGGATTCCCTTGAAATAAAAAAAAAACATGTAAAGCATAGTCTCAGCAAACAACTTGCTTTTGATGCCACAATTCCAATATAGAATATGTAATGAATACATAATACCATGCCTCTGAGCATTGTGAAAAATCCTTTAGTATTGCTTAGCAACATTCTATGCAACAATGAAGTTTAAAAAAAAATTCTGGTAGGGGTATCACAAAAACGTAATTCTGGATCTGAATTAATTCATCTCATTTACAGCCATGATTTTATTTTGTTCTTATTTATTAAATTTGTTTGCTGCCCATCTCACCAAGATGCCTCTAAAATGCTAAAAGCTGGGAATTAAGTTGACTCTCCTTCCCTGTTGTTGGCTTCCAATATTTAAATTATACTGTTTCTGAATATAACTTTCCAAACTATCCATTAAGCAATCATAGGTTAAAAAAACCCCTCAAACCTCCAAGAACAATTCTCCATGACCCTGAACAGAACTACCTTTCAAAGCTTACATCCTTTATGAAGCCTTAGGTTTTATATGTCATCCTACCTCAAAATTAAGCATATGACTTCAGTGTATATGTTTACAATACCCATATAACACTCTAGCATACATTTCATCAGGACTAGTGTGCCATAAGGCCACTTCATATGCACGACCTTTGTTACACAAGCAAATAATAGAAATTAATGTCCAACATAATTTGTAAGCACCAGGTTGTGAAGGTTGTTCCAACTCCTTCACAATTTCCAAAATGTGGTCACTCATTATAGATGTACCCATTAGGATAATACTAGGATTTTATTAGGAAAGGGTTTATAAACAATTTCACAATCAACAAGTTTGGCTGGCGGCTCAAATGCAGCCCCCCTACCCCTTTAACTGACATGTTGAAACACATTGTGTTGTTGTGAATCCTGCCGTATGGAATATTCATCACCACTTACTTCAGGCACTTCAGAAAGGTTGGAATACAACTCCCAACATCTCCAGTTGGTTGGTAATCGGGGTACTGTAATACAAAGGACGAGGGACATCACTTTGGGAAAAGCTCCTATCTACAGTACACGCCCACGAAGCATTTCCCACAAGCAAAGCACTCCCCTCCTTCAACAGTCATCAGAAGGACAGGAAATGAGCAGGAAATGCCCCCAAATGTGGGGTCTACACGCCCAACAATAAGGTGCCTACTGTCCAGGGAAGGATCCTTATTCTGTCCGTCCCGAAAGAATGGGTCGATGGAGGGGGGGAGGTGCTAAGGCCTGGTCAAGAATGGAGAGGAACTTGTCTGGTTTCTAGCCGAATATGCCCTCACCGGGATAAGGAGGGCAATCCTAAAGGGAAACGGCTGGGTGGGGGTGAAGGGGGCACTGCTCCACTAACCTCCCTGTCCCTTCGCTTGCTCTTCTTGGCTCCACCTCTTTCGGATTGCATCATCAAATCGCGACAGAACAGCTTTGACTCCCGATCCAGCTGCCGGCGCCGGATCCAGTTTCTGTGTGGCTTCTCCTCGCGAGAGTAGGTCGCTTATGCCGGCAAGCGGACAGACGCTTGGTCTGAGGGGAGGTAGTTCTTTGAATCCTTTGGGCCAGGGGTCCTCAACCTTGGCAACTTTAAGACTTGTGGACTTCAACTCCCAGCATTCCTCAGCCAGCAAAGTCCACAAGTCTTAAAGTTGCCAAGGTTGAGGACCCCTGCTTTGGGCAACAAGAAGGCGGCGACGGGTTCGAAGAGGCTGCCTGGGATTATGGGAATTGTAGTCAAATAGCCCGGGAGGAGGAGGAGGAGTTGGGGAAGGCGTACCTTTTGGAAGTACCATAGAGCAATTCGGAACGTTGCTGGCTTCGAATCCGAAACGTTCCTCTAATTGAGGAACTTTTATTAGACAGATACCTATATTTATAGCTTTAATGTCCAATTATATTGATAGCTATCCTCCGGCATGCATTTCGTTAGGAAATAAGCCCCTATTGAAGGCGGGTTGTTGTGGGTTTCTTTGGTGCTTTGGAGTTCTGACTACTGCCTGGACTAACAGAAAATTAGTTTTCTTGGCAAGATTTCAGAAGAGGCTTGCCATTGCCTTCTTCCCAGAGCTGAAAGAAAGTGACTGGTCACTCAACTGGAGTGTACCTAGAACTCGTAGTCTCCCATGTGTCTGGTCTGGTAACTTAGCCACACCAAACCAGCTCTCCGATTTGAGTTTAGGGGGTCTTTATTCCGACTCAGATTGTCTAAATTCCTAGGCTGCATCAGGCAAGTGGGTTTAGTATATTTTTTTTTAAAAAAAATGGGTATGATAAAATTTATTGAACATATTTTTAAAAAACTGTTCAGATAAAGATTACAAACAACTAGCCTAATTTTGTTTCCAAGGGGAATTCTTTAAGTAATTGATATTTGATCATTTTTATTCATGTAGAACTGAATATTTTATGAATGATGCACATAAGATTTTCTTTTTTATAAATAGTATTTTTAAAACTAACTTTGGCAGGGTGAACAAAAATTGCTCGCTGCTTATCAGTTACGATTCCCTATACTTTGTGAAAAATCATTTCAATAATACTTTTCAAACAACCTACTGTAAATCTGTTTTTAGATATGCTCTGGTAGGCCAATTCAGGTTCAATTAAAGTTTAGCAGATCTTTTTGTCAGCTGAGGTGCAAACTTTACAATAACTCCCTAATAGATTTTGTCCAGTGTGTTTCAATGCAACTAAGTAGTGCTGTCAGTTAGGAAGCCAGAGAAAACCTGCAGAGCATGGTTTCAGAAATTCATTTCAGCCTCTTTGCCACTAATGGCTCCAAGAGGAGAGTGTTATATTCTGTAGAAGGAAAGAACATGTTGCCTCTGTGTGTGTATGTGAGGGCCTAATTAGGGCAGGTGCATACATATGAGTATGCAGGAATATCTAATCAAGGTGGATGCACATATGTGTGTTTCTGTTTTCATGTTGCATCTATGTGTGTGTGCACTGGGAAGCACAAGGCAGATGGCACATGGTTCACTCTCGGTCACATGACCAGGAGAGAAGTAGGAGGGGGCTTATAATGGTGGGACCATTTTTTCTCTGCACTCCAAGCTGGAGCAGGCCTATTTCTTTTATTATTATTATTTATTTTTTTATCACAGAATAAAATACAAAACAATAAAACGAACAAAATGAAACAAAACAAAAACATTCAACCCTAACAAGAACAGCAAAAGAAAGGAACAATGTACAAAAGAAGAAAAAGTGGTTAATTAAATTTAACATTTAACATATAGGATCCACCTTGGCTGGTTGCTGAAAGAAAAGAAAAAGCAGTAAATTATCCCCTTTTACAAATATATACACATATATATTTAAAAATTATGAGAGACTGTTAAAATGTTGATCTCCGGGATAAAATCTTTTATTTTACACTGAGCTTTTGTCAGCAATTGCTGACGTTTTCAAAGTACGAGCCAGCGTCTGTAGGCACCTGTCTAGTCCATTATCTCTAATCAAAGCAGTTAATTTGCCATCTCTGCTAGTTCAATTAATTTCAAAATCCATTTTGCAACAGTCAGAATATCTTTTTCTTTCCAGTGTTTTGCACGTACAATCCTCTCAGCCGTCACCATGTGAAGAAATAGCACCCGAAATTGTTTTTAAATAGTTTGCACCCAAGAAAGGAAACAAAATACAGAAAATTAATTAAGGACACAACATAATATCAAAAAGACAGCTACATACCAGAATAGTATATAATCAAATCCAGTGGTTTCAGATTTTTTAAATTGTTCCTTGAAAAGGATGCATTTTTAAAAAGCAGTGTTAAAGGTATCTTTTATGTTTTAATGCTTTGTAAAAAAAAGTTCCTCTGTATAAAATAAGGTAGAAAAGCTCTACAAGATTATTTGCAACCATCCTTCAGTGGTTTCTTACTGACTTTTGGTGAGTCTTCCTTTTAAATGCCACATTGCAAGATGATCAGTTTTGGAAAAAGCGATAACAAAAGCTTAATGTGCTGAATTTCAATATCATCTAATCATTAAAATATAAGTATGTAATATACAGGACCATTTTATAACAATACTATGGATAAAATTGGTAATTTACTTAAAAAGAAAAAAACGAAATTCATTGATTTAAGATTTGGAGGGGAATTTACATATTTCTGCCTTGGAGAAAGCAGTGATTAGATCACTACTTTTCACTCTCAAAGTAACAATCCCAGATTCTGACTATAGCACTTGATTACTGAATTTCAGATCATTTCAAGAGAAATACCTACTTTTTGATTACATTTTCAGAATGATTCATATGCGCTTCCTTACTGAGATGTCTCTTTAAAACCAAAACAAGAGAGGTGGAAAATGCTGCTTGTTACACCAGTACTCCCAGTCTTAAAGTCAGAGAAATAAGATCACTGTTGTAAAACATCTTGGTCCTACAACAGGACAACAGAAATCAGGGCGAAGACACCTTGCATCAACTTTTACTCAACTTTACATATTAATTTTCTACAAATAGGATTTCATTTGCATGGATGTCCCTATCTAAAAACTGGGTTCATTTATCATATTAACAGGCATTCCTTATCTGAGTTATAAAAATCTGTACAACACTAGGTGGAGCATCAAAGAGATATCTATTTCCCTTTGCTAACATCTTGTATTCCAAAGTTTTGCAGCTGAGATACACCACTCCTAGCCAAGACTTGTTTGATTTGGATTACTGTACCATAATGACAGCATTTGTAAACCATGTTATCTGAGTTAAGGTGAATCAGCCAATAGTAATTTATGCAATAATATGTGATTATATGTTAACCTAATGCAACAAATGCAGGTATAGTCATGCAGTCTTATCTCTGTATTCTGAAAACATACAGAAAATTAAAATAACAGATGGTACAGCAGATATAAAAAAGTGTCTCCATTTGAATTTCTTCATGTTTTACTATTCCGACAATTTAAAGTGGCACTGCAGTTATTTCAACAATTTAAAATTTATCATTCCATTATTGCTTCAGCTTTTAGCTCAAATCCAAAGACAGTAAAAATCACTTGCGTCATTTTTAATTTTCCCTGTGTGAAGAGATATTTGAATAATATGGTATAATCCCTTGTTTTTTAAATGCTTTTACAAGTGTTGTTTGAATGAGTTTTCCAGCTTGCCACACCAGGCGGGAGGGCAGGAACGGATGTTGTGATCCTCATCTGCATCTGGAGTTACGTTCTTCTCACTCCGCTGGCTCAAGCAGAATAGTCCAATCTGCTTGCTGTGCTTCATTTCATCTTAGGCAAATGCCAGAGCTGTCACCGTTGTGAATTCAAGGACCAGTTGTACATCTACTTTTTCAGAGTTGTAGTTTCAAACAATCGCTGAACAAGGCAGTTGTTAACCAAGGACTGTCTGTATGACATACTCTGTTTCTATGCTTTACATAAAGCTGCTTACGCAAAACAAAATAGATATTCATAATCTGCGTTATTATTTGATTATTTAGTGTTATCAGCTTTTTTATGGAAAGCGGGAATTATGATATATAACATGGGAGATAGAGATGGTAATTGTTATGTTTGTAACTGCTGTAAAGAAAATGGGAAATAATTTTATTAGATATTTTTCTTTTTGTTTTTTGCTCTTTACGTTTTCTTACATCAAACTTTTCCATCAGAAGATTAAAAAAAATATCAATGCTTCAGGAAGTTGTGGGATTTTGAAGGTGGAAATTTTAAAAACCATGAGATCAATACATATGCATATATAATTTGATTTTAATTTACATGTCTCAAACAGGGCGGAAAACAAAAGCTTTCCTACCCTGATAAGGCAACCGTGAATTATGATAAATCTCAAGAGAGTCAAAGATTACACAGGTTGTAAAAGCAGTAGTTTATCCCCTCTCCCTTTTTCTTCCCAACCCTCCCCCTCCTCCCACTAAACCCTAGAGTCCATCTTCACCATTTCTTCTTATGCTCATCCATGGAAACTCCCCCAGGTCCTAATGCCACAACAAGCAGCAGGCCACCTATGACAGACATAGTCTGGAAAAAGTCATACTTGAGGAAATCATGAAGGGGGCTGTAGCTGGGGATGTGCCAGAAGGCATTCTGGATCAGGTTGATGATGAAAAGCCAGATGACCAGAGTAAGAGCAGCAAGCTTGGTCTTGAAGCCAATGGCTACCAAAATGATAAGAGCCATGCCAAAAATATCTTGGAAAATCTGGGAAAGGAAAGAACAAATGCAGTATATTAGCTCCGTACAGCTTCTTGCCTTAATGGCAATTCTTTTCCAGATCCAAAATATACTAAAGATACAATTTCAGGATTTCAATTTGCCTGAAATGTATTAAAAAACAAAACAAAAATATAAAATAAAT